ACCTTCTACAGTCTGAGCATCATGTGGAGATTAGCCTCTCTCTCCTGCAGGGAGCAGTTTTTATCACTGCTCTCGTCATGTCGCTTGTTTTCCAAAACAAAAGCTGCGCTCTCCTTTCTTCTGTCCATCAAGAGATAATCCACGGGCAACATTCTGCTGATGTCAAAACCGTAAAAAGCGTGCTGTCCTCGCTTCTGCCTACTAGAACCAACGGTTAGATATAATACGATACTCATGTTTTGGCTGATATCGGACCGATATCCGATATCAATATTGGATCGGGACACCCCTACCTTATAGTGCTGGGTGGTATACGGTTTTGTACCGAAAACCGTTTTTTATTTTTGTTATGATTTGAATTTTCTGAATACCGGACATACCGGTTTAAATAGCCTGAACACGTGCGGAACGTTTCGTCGCGGCCGCCAGTGAACTATTTCCCGGGGGACACGTTTCCTCAAAGCACCGCTATGTGCGTTAGCATGCTAACGTTATTGTTGGAGCAACTGGCGGCGGGTGGTGTTTCAGCTGCTTACATTAACTGACGTAAAAAAAAACATCCCGTTTTCACCATCGCTGAATGTAGTAAACAACTCTTCAGTGACGTGCACGGTTAGATTTAATGCGCTACGTTATAATGGAGACGTTATTGCATGGAGACTTTAACGTACTTCTATTGTGAAAAGCCCGGGGGAAGTAGTGTTGTAGTGTATCTGAGTTGACTGGTGTGCAAGGTGAGTCGTACTTTTAAGTTTTATTAACACGCAACGATAGACCCGATGATTTTTTCTCAACCCTTCACGATCGGACCAAAATGAATGATTACTGTCTACAACCAGACAACGAAGAAAAGACGTAGAAGAGGAGGGAAACAGTGATACAGAGGTACAGTAAAAGAAAAGTCAATAAGCAAAGTTTGTACATTTTATTATCAGCTGAGCTGTGAGGGGGAAAAATACCATCAAATACCGTGAAACCAGTGTAATTGTTGAAAATACCGTGATATAAAATTTTGGGTCATACCGCCCAGCTCTAACACCTTCCACACTGGGATATCAGGCTGGGACTATATAACATGTTAAATATCCCCAATTTGAGGTTGTGGCCGTCACAACGTCCTTCCGAGCCGAATAGATCACTCCTAACTCACCACACACGGCAGGAACATCTCCTAAGATTAACTTTAGAGTCATCACAATAATCAGAGCATCGTTAAGATTGTCTGAAGGAGAAAAGTCAAAAATCAACACAGTTATCTTCCAATGTGAACCCATCGCGTCTAAAGATCGAACAATGAAAATCCCTGATTGGCTGACGTCTACCCTCGTTACAGCGGACCCATCAGAAACGCAGTTTGAACCAAGAAGAAAATGATTATTGCAGCACGACACCTCTTCAAACATCCAGCCTACCGGTCCTGAGCACCGGCGTGCCCTCGGCAACCTGCAGCAGAAACGCAGAGAGCCATCCTCCACCAACATCTGTCCAGAATCAGCCTGTATTATCTGCCTGCCGAGCAGCCGTAGAGCTGCAGCGACATAAAGCTGGATTAAACCACAGCTARGCACATCCTCCGACTCCAGCTGTGCGGAGCGAGGAGGGGGCACGTCTCCCACCCAGCCGCGACTTCAGACTGACCCAGGCTGCAGCGTTCACAAGTTTGTCTCTTTGTTTCAACAAAACGCAAAGAAAACCTTCCATCGTCAGCCTCTGCAYCCTGTCCAACCCTCCAGAAAGGAACATTTTACCTGAAATAAACAATCTATAGTTATCATTAAGTCTCTCTGAAGTCTCAATTTATCTGCCACCATAAAGCAGAAGCTGTCATTCCTATAAAAGCTGCTGCTGCTGTTGACATGTTGCACAGTTAATGGATAAAACGAGTCAACAGAAAGAAAAAACTCAACAAATCACGAGCAGCAGACAAACCAAAAACAATAACAGCTGCAGAGAACGAGCAGGTATTCTCAAACATCACGATCATTTTGACACTTTATTGCTACAGGCATGGAGAAAAATCCAATTTCCATATTTTTTACTCCTAAAATTATACCTTTATAAATGCAGCAGCTCTTCTTAGTGAATGACAGTAATTTTCTGTCAAACCGCCGCCAGCCTCTGACAAACCTGACGGGTTTGTGCCAGGACAACCTGCAGGGCGTCTGCGCCGCTCCAGGAACCCGTTCCTGCGACCCGTAAGAACCGGAGTCAGAGGAYGGATTCGCCCGTCGCCTCTCAGGCCAGATGTTTGGAATAAAGAWTAAATTATGCTGAGGAAYGAGCTGCAGCCATTTTGGTCCAACCTTAAAGAAAACGTGACGTGTAATATCATGCCCTAATTAGATGTCACGTTYTCTGTTGTTGTTTACAATTTGCTGCACATCAGACAACAAGTGGAGTGACGATGTTTTCACAYCTTCCTGAGTAGAATTCACTTCTCTGTAATCAGGCAGGGGCTGACAAGCAGGGAACACGACTCTATGATTACAGTGTGTGTAGAAGCTTCTTTAAGGGGGGGGGGGGTAAGCAAGCCCAACCTTTTTGAGCTTTATAACACGTTATAATATTCCTAAAAACACAACCAGAGTGTTGCTTTGACTTATTCATGCATGTTTGAGAGAAATCCCTGCGATAGCCAGAGGTATCTAAAAGCTTGCTCATACAAAGCTCCGCCTATTTACCCAAAGCTCCTCCCTAGAGCTCAGTCCTCAGCTGAGCTCCCGCCCCACAGAGCCGTGGATGCTTTACGATTCTATGATGACACTGTTCACCAAAATGAGTTGGACTTTTCTCCTATGGAAGGTTGTAAACAGCATAAAGCATTGTTGTGAAGACGTGCTGAAGTGGGAGRGTTGGAAACGGTAGGAGGTTCTTAAASAGACAGGCCAAGGCYTTTAGATAACGTGACGCAAAGTCACCAGGGCCTGAAATTCGCTGSYGGATTGCGGGTATCGCGCACATTATGATCGATTCCCMCAAATCTAGTTTTTATGTGCGGGAAATTCCCYCATAGAATAAATTACAGCGATGTGTAATAATGTGGACGTTAGCATCGGACTGTTTTTAGATGAGAGCACCGTACCGTATAAACCTGACCACCTGGTCAGTTCAGAAGACACACAGAGGCAGAGAGAGAGAGAAGGAGAAGGGGTGGGGGCTCAGACTCCCCCGCCTGTGTATAGGGCTGCCACAAACGATTATTTTAATAATCAATTAATCACCGATTATTTATTCGATTAGTCGACTAATCGGATCATACGTTAATTGAATATAAAACATAGAGCTTATCACGCCAGAATGCAGCTGCTATTATATAACCATGGTTAGATTTTAGCTATATGCTAACTAAAAATAATTGCTGTGGAAGGTAAGTTCTGCTCTGCAGATATTACACAGGTTTCTCTTTCATTTTCTTAAAATGATCCCACACTTTTGAGCTCCGTTGCTGCGTAGCCATGATACTAGAGCCTGTCTGTTTAATGTCTTGTGACGTCCACGGCCTATCCCCAGTTACCACTACTGTGCATGTGTGTCAAGGACAGAAAGGCAGATGTGGCAGTGGAAGGTGTCAAAGCAGTTTGGAGAGAAAAACAAAGTAAAGAACAAAAATAAAGAAAACGATTAATCGATTATTTTAATAATTGATTAGTCGTCGATTAATCGATTAATCGTGGCAGCCCTACCTGTGTACATCCAAATGAGGTAGCGACCGACACGCGACAAACTCGTCGAGTTTTGAGACTTTCTGTTTATCCCGAAAATAACGGGAAACTTAAACGCACCATCTGTGTTTTAACAAAACACCCCCCCAAAAATAATAGGAGCTGCTCCAGCCGCAACTCGTGATTAAAAACTTAAAGCTAATTTCCTCCCCACATTTCTGTTGGTGACTTCTGATCTGCCAGGCGGAACATCAACACTTTACGTGCAGTTCATCCGTTTAGTGGTTCTGTGCTCTGAAAGAGTCTCTCAAACAGGAAAGAGACGAGAGAGCAGCTAATATAACAGCTAGGAAGGCAGGAGGAAACTGAAGGCAGCATTTTTATTATACGTTGGAACACAACATAAAACCTGTAGTCAGGCTCATAAGTAATAATCCCCCCAAAATGTATAAATCCCCCCACTCTGAAACATGTAAGGGGGGGATTCCCCCCATTTCAAAAGTGAATTTCAGGCACTGGTCACATTTATATTGATATATACAGCATTTTCATAACAACTGAAGGTAACACCTCATTGTGGTGAAGAARTGAACTATGTGCTTGGAAAATACACAGCACCCTCACTTTAACTAACTAAGGTATAGCTAAACAAACAGAGAATTGATTTGATTTGATTTATTTAACAGGAAAAGATTATTAAAAATCAAGCCTGACTCAGCATAATTGCTGTTTTACAGCAGGTTCCTGTCCTGCAGCACATAAAACACTCAGAATTACAGCATCACAATCACATCATTATTATTATACCATAGACAAACACAAACAAGCATACCAGAGAAGCCTTCCCAAGGCTCTGCTGTGTGCACTCACATGACTAACAACACATTTATTGCCGTAAACACATGAGAAGACGTCACCTACCGGTCATACTGTTTACTGGTTAACGGTTTGTACGGGCCTCCAGCGTTGAGCGGTCCGCCTCGTCTCCATCCTGGAAGAAACAAAAAGAGGATTGTTTGTTAGAGGCTAAGACGGAGAGCAGAGGAAGGAGGCATATGGGACACAAACAAGCCTTTAATTTCTCTATTTTCAATCTTCAAATGAGCGTTCTTGTTTTTTCTTTACTTTGACACATTTTTCTTCCTTCATCCCAAGTCAAAATCATTTCCTCCACCCTTTCTTTTTCCTTCCTTCCTCCTCTTAATCTCCTTACATTTCCCCCTTGCTTCCTCCTCGTTCTGATCTCAGAACCTTTGGTTTGTTTCCTAATGAGAAACAAACCAATTGATCAACTGATCAATAACTTTTGTCATAAAAAAATCAGCTTATTAAAATGCAGGCTCCACAGCGTCGACACGAGCAGACACGGTGGCCTTTCCTCACAGCGACCGAGACTTTTACAACACAGGTGCTTTTTTTTCAGCACAACACCAGCAGACCAACGAAAACGGACCGTTTATTATGGTCACTTTGAAAAGATCACATCGTCTGAGCCAGAGAAAACGGTCAATGAATTACTGCTTAAAAATTAAATTGTGGATTTATGGTGGGAACTTTATTCACAGCAATACTTCAAACAAACCTAATTCCTGCTTGGCTGCAGGGTTAAAATATAAACAGATATTAGAGCCAGAATGTGGAGACGGTAGCTTGGATTTCTACATTTCTGTCATGATTTCTAAAAATCTGTTTCATCATCGGCCAACAAAAAAAATGCAAACCGGCCATTTTATTCTGTTTACTTTACAAACAGACTGAAAAACCAACATTTATTTGTGCTGGCAAGAATGTACAGATCCAAACAGATGAAACAGACTAACCCTAAGTATTTTATTAATTAGCCTGTCATTATTATTATTATTATTATTATTATTATTATTATTATTATTATTATTATTATTATTAGCCAATATTAGCTGGTATAATGTGTTTTGGGTACGCTTGTTACAGAAAACTGTGTAAAAAAGCCCAAATATTCACAGAATAAAAGAAAATATGTGTGAAAGTGAAAAAGAGGAAGGAAAGAATAAGGCTTGTATTTTAAAGTGCTTTGAGGAAGTGAAGGAAGGAAGCTGTTAAAGTCTTTAAACTCCCGTCAGACAGGAAGTGCCAAGAGGAAGGAATGTGTTCTCGGTGTCTTTTGATATTTTCCACAAATTAAACCAACACGACGTCCGAACCAAAGCCGACACGAACAATCGTTGAATTTTAATCCATAAACCTTTTCTTCCTGGTTGAACATAAAAGCCATAAATCAGCTGTTTTCCAGCGAGGGAACTCCATCTGCTGCGGAGGATCAATCCCCGTGCCAAGGTCAACAACGAGCTTTCACAATCAATTCTCCTAAAGCGTGCATTAATTCACAAAAACACCTACTCCTATTGCATTCCTGGAGACATTTTTATTTGAGAGAAAGGACTGCACTTCATAGGCCACATGAGAGGAAGCCCCCCACTACACACACACACACACACACACACA